AGCTCCCAGACCTGCCCTGGACTTGCTCCTCACCCCTGCCCTGAGCCCCCCAAACCCTGCCCTGACTCCTGCCCCTCCACTCCCTGCCCTGAGCCCTCCAGAAGTGCAAAAAAGTCATTTTATTCCAGCACGAGAACGCCCCCCCCCCGCAAATATGGTCTCCCCATGAGCTCTATCGAATGTCTGAATCCCTGTCAATGCCAACTTCTTGTTTCCTTCATTTTTGAGAAACTCCATCATTTACATACAGCATGTATGTTGTTCTTGCATTGAAAATAAAACCCTGCTTGAGTTACAGACCCAAGCAACATCGGGCGCGTCTGCTAAGCATCGCCGGGCATGTCTGCTAGTCGGGAAGGCAACTGGAGTAATAGTTGAGCAGGGAAAGTCAGAATTTGCCCTGATGCCTTTTTAATAACCCAGCAACCATCCACACGGGGCATCCTTTCTGTAATGGGGGGCCCAGAACTGAATGTGGATACATTGGAGAGAATCCAGCGGAGGTGACCAAAATGATTCGGGGGCTGGAGCACATGACCTACGAGGAGAGGCTGAGGGATTGGGGCTTGTTTAGTCTGCAGAAGAGAGCAGCCTGCAACTTCCTGAAGGGGGGTTCCAAAGAGGATGGAGAGAGGCTGTTCTCAGAGGGGGCAGGTGGCAGTGTGACGTAGTGGGGGTACTTGCTGGGCTGTGGTGACCCCTGCTGTCTGGAGCAAGACCCAGCAGGGAAAACCTCACTAGGCAGAGGTAAGGCCAAACTTGTTGAACCAGTGGCCAGACACCCCCCATGGAGAGGAACAAAGGAAGGTGGATGCTGCCCTGGCTGGGGGGCAGGGCTGGAAGTTAGTGAGTTGGTGGCTGGCTGTCGGAGGGCATGGAGGAGAGCCTAGGGGAAGGGGCTGGAGTTTAGGGGCCCAGTCTCCCCCATCTCAAGGGGGCCTGAGGCATCCTAGTCCAGTTCCTGTAACCAGATTACATCTGTGCTGCGCTGTGCTGGAGGAGCAATAAACCACCCTCAATTCCACTGGCTGGTGCAGTCTGTTTGTGCCATTTCGGGGTGCAGGAGACGGGGAACCCCCAACGCGCCGTCACAGGCAGAACAAGGAGCAATGGGCTCAAGTTGCAGTGGGAGAGGTCTAGGTTGGAGATTAGGAAAAACTGTTTCCCAAGGCGGGTGGGGAAGCCCTGGGCTGGGTTCCTTGGGGAGGGGGTGGAATCTCCATCCCTAGAGATTTTTAAGTCCCAGCTTGACAAAGCCCTGGCTGGGTTGATTGAGTTTGGGGTTGGTCCTGCTTTAGACAGGGGGCTGGACTCGATGCCTAGATCTCTTCCATCTGTAGCATTCTATGCTCAAGAATTTCACAAAATATCGCTGGTGAGTTTCTACACTTGATAGATTCTTAAATAAAACCATGTGGGTACATATTGCAAAAAACCAGATCCCCCTAAATATCACGCCAAACTTTAGGGCTAGGATGGAGCCCACGTCTCCAGGGGGGCACTACAGTGGCTTTGCATAGGCATCACAGAAACTCGGTGGAATGAGGACCTTCAATGGGACGCAGCCATACCAGTGTGTGCAATATATCGGCAGAACCGGTCGTGCTGGTGGGGGAGAGGCGCTATATGTGAAAGAAAATGTAGAATCAAATGAAGTGAAAGTCTTAGATGAACCAACCTGTTCCATAGAATCTCTCTGGATAGTAATTCCATGCGCCAATAGTAGGAATATCTCAGTAGGGATATATTACTGACCACGAGGAGTAACGGTAGTTCAAACTAGGAAGCCTAGTTCAAACTACCTAGTTCGTGCCCCGTGTAGCCGCGCTGCACGGGGTTCGAACCAGCGGGGTTTTAAAAATGGCGGAGCCCCGCTTATGCAAATGAAGCCCGGGAAATTCAAATCCCGGGCTTCATTTGTAAGTGCGGTATGCCTACATTACCCTCCTAGTTCGAACTAGCGGGGTAGTGTAGACATACCCATAGTGACTATGAAATGCTAAGGGAGATTAGAGAGGATATAAAAATACCAAACTCAATAATAGTGGGGGTATTTCAACTCTCCCCATATTGACTGGGTACAGGTCACTTCAGGACGGGATGCAGAGATAAAGTTTCTTGACACCTTAATTGACTGCTTCTTGGAGTAGCTGGTTCCGGAACCCACAAAGGGAGAAGCAATTCTTTATTTAGTCCTAATCGGAGTGCATGGTCTGGTCTAAGAAGTAAATACAACTGGACCGCTTGGAAATGGTGACCGTAATGTAATAAAATTTGATGTCCCTGTGGTGGGAAAAACACCTCAGCCGCCCAACAGTGTGGCATTTAATTTGAGAAAGGGGAACTACATGAGGTTAGTTAAATATAACTCTGGCAAGGAGTTCCACAGATTGACTGCACGCTCTGTGAAGAAAAACTTCCATTACCCATCCTGGCTAATAAGTATTGATGGACCTATCCTCCATGAATTTATCTAGTTCTTTTTTGAATTCTGTTAAATAGTTAAATATAACTCTGGCAAGGAGTTCCACAGATTGACTGCACGCTCTGTGAAGAAAAACTTCCATTACCCATCCTGGCTAATAAGTATTGATGGACCTATCCTCCATGAATTTATCTAGTTCTTTTTTGAATTCTGTTAAAATCCTGGTCTTCACAACATCCCCTGGCAAGGAGTTCCATTGGTGGACTGTGCATTGTGTGAAGAAATACTTCCGTTTGTTTGTTTTATATCTGCTTCCTCTTAATTTCATTTGGTCACTCCTAATTCTTATGTTATGGGAACAAGTTAATAACTTTTCCTTATTTACTTTCTCCATCCCTGTCATGCTTTTATAGACCTCTATCATATCCCTCCTTAGTCTCCTCTTTTCTAAGCTGAAAAGTCCCCATCTTTTTAATCTCTCTTTATTTGGGACCCATTCCAAACTCCTCATCCTTTTTGTTGCCCTTTTCTGAACGTTTTCCAATTCTAATACATCTTTTTTGAGATGAGGCGATCATATCTGTGCACAGTATTCAAGCTGTGGGCATACCATGGATTTATACAAAGGCAATAAGATATTCTGTTTTATTCTCTATCCCCTTTTTAATCATTCCTAACATTCAGTTTGCTTTTTTGACTGCCGCTGCACACTGCATGGATGTTTTCAGAGAACTATCCATAATGACTCCAAGATCTCTCTTAAGTAGTTGTAGCTAACTTAGTCCCCATCATTTTGTATGTATAGTTGTGTATATACAGGCAGTCCCCGACTTACGCGGATCCAACTTATGTCGGATCCGCACTTACGAACGGGGCTTTCTCGCCCCGGAGGTCGAGGTAGCGGATTGCTACCT